TATAAGCGTAATTTTAATGAAAGGAATTTATTACTTAAAAATTATTTTATTGTTACATACGGATTTTTTTCGTTCCTCTTCCTGCTATGTCTCTATATACAAAGCCATTATTCCTCTTTAAGTTGAGTCTGCTTACTCAACATCTAAAAGTCTAATCGAATGAATAGAAGAACGCAGTCATTTTATTAAAAAATAAAAATAAAAATTTTTCGCTGATTGTGAGAATTTCTCATATTACACATTTTATCCTATTCGATGTGGTTTTTTAAACACGAGGCGACGTTGTACATTGAAAAATTGGACTTATATTGAATATTTCTGCATGAAACTAGTCACGCGTAAAAGCATCGTGCAATTCCAAAGTTACAGTACGCGATTTTGTTTTAATGCTAGCATTGTAATATAATTTGAAGCTGTAATTAAAATCTGATAACATTGACTTGCACGATACCTATGCAATATCTAAACTAGAGTAACTCCGGTACAGGGTAACGCCGCACCTATCAAAAATTTAATTTATTAAGTATTATTTATTATACGTTTATAGTAAACGAACTATATCAGTAAAAATTTTGTACTCTCTACTACTATGAAAAAAATATTAGAAATATTTCTTTTTCAAATTAAAAAATAAATTTTTTGAAATCCTTGCATTTTTGCCGTATATCCCATAGGGGTGGGATTTATGGGCTACTCATAAGAGGAGGAGGGATATGTACGGCTCAAGAAAAATTTACAAATAATTGAAATAATGCATACAAGACGTAATGACACAATAACTTTATAAAATGTGTTTATAAAATTTTATTAAGGAATAAGAATGATAAATATATATATATATGAAGTTAATAAATAATAATTACAATCTTCCTATATATATTACAAGTGTTATGACATAAAGTACATATTTCATATAATAATAAAACGTTTATTGCATTTAGTGTACTTTTCAATCTGCGCATTTTGTATGCTTTGGGCATAAATCTCGCTCGCTAAAAATTCCATATATCCCAAATAGATAGGATATATACAACATAACAACTAACAAATTAAACAAAAATACGATAACAAGACAACAACTAACAAACTAAACGAATACGATACAACAAAGCACTTGTATTTTGCTACACAACATGCTTTACTATTCCACTACACGTATGTATCACGAAATAATCACTAAGTCTTTTACAGTAATCATTTTATGTAGATTATAATTTATGATCACATTCATATGAGTACTTATTACAGTGACAAATCAATTCAACTCGCAATAATTTCATTAATATTAACAGTAAGAAGCTGAAATCATAACACAATACTATCTTACCATATTATCTTATCAATACTATTTTATCAATCTAACATAAAGGCAGAGTAGTTGCGGGAAAATTATCTCTATTCTTTCTATTTTTTCTGACTTCTGCGAGGGGGGGGGGGTAAATCCTAGCGCGACATATTTGTCGAAGTTATCCAATAAAAATCGCAGCTTGTTCAGCTGTGACATTTGCGACTGGCTATCTAGGTTTACACGGCTAGTTATTTTGATAAGATTAAGATGCGCGATATATTTTTAAGAAGATATAAAAACAGAATATGTGCTTGGCTGCAATAATGCTTGGCTAGTTGCAAATTGACATCATACGATAAATGACGACAGCTGTACATATCATACGTGCATATTTCAAACATTGCATAATCGATTTGGAAATAAAAAAAACAAAAGCGAATACTTTTCTACGAGCGTTCTACGTCTAAAGAGATCCATAAAACAAATATTCCACCGGCATAGTATCCGCTTTTTACGTACAATCGATTGAGCGATATTAGAAATAATTTATACGGAACTGCTGACAGTGCTACATTAGCGTGCCGATAAGTAACACACGAGTATGATTGTGAGTGCGTAAACGATCATCCGATTCATTTGTCATATGATACATATATTTGAGATCATCTCTGGTTTAAAATATTACGTTACAAAGTTATTAGACCAGACGCCTTTCGTGATTTATGAATGAATTGTGCGCCGAAAGTTTTAAATTATACTTAAAAAGGTGTTTCTTTCGTCAAAATAACATATTCATATAAATAAAGAAATTATACATCTTTCATTATTAAAAAAAAAAATTATGTATTTGTGTTGGAAATGATCCACTCGTGTCTATGTTGACAGTTTGTGTTAAATTTTTTAACATATTCGAGTATTAATTTAACATGAAATTTAACATAATGATTACGTTATTTAAAGATTTTGTGTGAAATTGGTATTCAACATTTCTTAGTGTTCTCAAAACGACATAATTTATTAAATAAATGAACAATTAACATAAAATAAAATGTTTTAAAACGTAAATTATACAATGAATAAAATGTACAGGGTTCCCGATAAAAAATTTTTCATGCATAAATATGTACAAAATATGTATAAATAGAATACGAATAATAATAATGTAAAAACATAAAAAAATAATTAAAAGAATAATGTTTATTTTAGAAAAAAATAAGTTTGGAAAAATGTAAAAAAAATTGCTCATACATAATTATGCAAATAATTTTATATATAATTATACATAAGTAATTTTTTTTACATTTCTTCAAACTTGATTTTTTTCTAAAACAAATAGTGTGAAAATTACTCTTATAATTATTTTTAATATTTTCATATTACTATTATTATTTCTACACTAAAAAGTAATTTTAAAAAGAAAGAAAGAAAGATGTATAAACATGCATGGACATATTTCATATAAAATTATGTATGTTTATGAATATTTATGCATGTTTATGTATACGTATATGTTTATACATATTTATACATATTTATACATATTCATGCATGATAATTTTTTAATATATTCATCTTGTACTAAATTACTCCAAAAAATTGAGTGGACTATTTGGGACATGCGATTTATGTCAATAAATTTCAACACATTTTGTCCAACAGTGTATACATTATATATATGTATAATAATCATAAAATATATGTATACACATATAAAATATATTTATTATTATACATATATTATAATAATAATAACAAAAATAAATAATT